ATTTGGGATGCAATTGCTGGGTCATTGTTTACTGATAGGATACATGTATCATCGGCATATGTGGTGATGACAGTGTTGGGACAGGTAGGGATGTCAGCTGTATAAACTGTATAGAGGATAGGACCTAGGATACTACCTTGAGGAACACCAGCGGACTGGGAAAAAAGGGATGAATAGGGAGAAAACATGAATTTAATTTTAAGTATGAATTTAATTCCTTGTGTATTGACTAGATTTTAAAGGCACGTTTAGACATTTCAGAAACTATAAGAAACAAAAATATTTACATATTTATTATCTAGTATCTTTGTTTATGATTTTTAATTGTTATGATCTGCTGTCTGTAACAAGAGAAAAAAAAAAAAAAAGTTGTGCTTAGCGTTCATGTTCATGTCACTATTACTTAAATTAGAGATTGTGTTTCCCATAGTTTGTGAAATTTTGAAACGCGCAGCAAATATTCAGGAAAATAAATATATTAAAGAAACGAGGAAATATACACATCTATATTTCCTTATTATTCTTACGTATAACTTTTTCTTAGTTACATAATTATAATAGGTTCATATTTTATAGTTTCGGATCAGTTATCGAGCCGGGATCCTTGATAAAACGGTAGGTCCAATTCTGTTGTTTATTAATATCTACGGCCTATGGGCAGCCCTGGGATTTCTGGGTCACTAAGTTAGATAGGATGCCCCTTCCGCCTGGCCTTTCCGAAAGGAAATTTATGAGGACGATCCAGGGTCGTCCGCACTGCGACGAGAGACGGAAGGTTGTGGCGATATTAGTGACGAGGGGACGGACATTTCATGGCGATTACTTACAATATACTTATCAATACTTGATTAAATAAATTGATCAAAGTAAAAATATTAAACAACGGTCTTAAAAAAATAATTTAATTTAAAAAAAAAAATTAATGGTTTTAATCAAACATTCCGGTCCATATATATTGTTAACTCAATCAGTTGAGGAACTTTTTTAAAAAGTTCAATTTTAACAGTTTCTATGAAACTTTTTAGGAGTTTTTTTTTAATAGTGGTCTAAGTAACAATTTTTTAATAATAATTTCGTTTGTCTAATAATATGTGTAGCGACACTGTAAATCCACTTATTAAATAAAGCAGAAAAAAAAATCAATTAACATGATTTTTGTTTCTACTTTATCTTCTTAATCTCAGTGACCGAAAAACTAACTCAAGGCAAAGTCGTTTTGCCATGCTAGAAGCCATTTTGGGAAAGTACGTTCACTTTTTTTAGGGACAATTGGCTTTTTTTAAAATAAATTGTTGCAAGGAACATAACGATATGCAACCTATAGAGATGTGGGGGAAATGCACTGTAGGGGATTCTGGCCCACCGTGTACCATTACTGAGGGTGAAGATGCCATGGACGAACAATTTTTGCCAAAACCCCCACGTCCAAATTGATGAAAACGTTGTAGGTGTAATATCAAGAAGTTATTGAGGAGAGTGGTAACAATGAAGTTTATAATTATATGTATTTAATGTAACAAATAGAATACAATTATTATGTGACTTTTATTATCCATAAAATACAATATTAATTTTTTAATAAAAATACCGTTATTACAATCTATGCCGATGACATATGTGTCTTATCAGTAAATAACGATCTAACAATCGCATCCCAAATTCTTCAATCATTCATCACAAACCTTGAAGAATGGTGTAAAAACTGAAGAATTAAAATAAATTCCAATAAATCCCACCAAATTAACTTTACTCTTCGTTGTAAATCTATGACTTCCTGTCCTACAGTATCCTTTAATAATTCCTCAATTATCCCAGTTGAACAAATTCGTTACCTAGGACTCCGCCTCGACAAACGTCTAACTTGGAATCCTCATACATGACTGAAACGACAAGAAACCTCTCGACTCCAGCACTTACTAGACGAACGTTCTAAGCTTTCAATCAATTACAAAGGACTCATATATATGACAATAATAAGGCCTATATGGACTTAATAAATTGAGCTTTGGGGTTCCACTAAAACATCGAATTCCTCTCATATCCAATCCTTACAATCCTTCGTAAAATCCTCAATTCTCCTTACTCTGTCACAAATAAAATCAACCATAAAGACCTTAATGTTCCATATGTTTCCTATTTGGTCCAATCCAGATACCTATCCTTCCATAACAAACTCCAGAACCAACCGAATCCTCTCGTCGAACCTTGCTTCCACCTCGATTCCTGATAACCCTCCGAGGCGTCTAAAAAGAAGGTGGCTTCGTGATCTTCTTGTGTAAATTTATTATTAAAGTGCTATCAGTGGTTAGTTTCTCATCAAACGATTTCATGTTATTGTATTTATGAGTACACATTTACTAGTTGTTTATTTTTTTAAAAATACAGTTGTAATTATCAATGAAAAAAAAACAATAAAAAAACTTTCGCCATAAATCCAAAACTTTCACTTAGTGAAGAGCCAAAAAATATTAATTTATTGGATTTCCTTTTCAAAGATTTTTTTATTGTTTATATCTGTTTAAAGTCATTGAATAAATTATCGTGTTAGTGGATTTATGTTATTAATCAATTCTGTGAGACTCTAACATCATCAAAAAACAAAAGCTTAAAAATAACTTTCTGAAAAATAAAATTGTAGTATTTGTTTACTGCAAAATATTTCAAGTTCTGTAACTAAAACAAATAAACACTAAAATATAAGGCTCTGATAAATAACCACTTATCGCCAGCTGAGGTGTGCTTACATAGCACAAAATATATCTCTAAAATTCTATTACAGCAGCGGGTTTATTTTTGGAATACACCAACTCAGTATTTTCACAACTATACTATAATGTTTTGATTACATAATAGTTTTTTTTTATAGTTTTGGCCAATCGGTTTGTTTTTATTAGTTTTGAACTTACTTTAACTGCTAATCTGATGTTGTAATTATCATTTTAGCACATTGCGGTATCGCATCTTTATCCTAAAACTATGGAAAGTAGTTTGTTCGTCGATTTCGAAGTAGCTAAAAATTACGTGGATAAGAACTGTCTTTGAAAAATCCTGAGTGAGCTGTATGAGTCCTCATGGAGTTGGAGAGATTGATCGAAAACGTCTTGTGCTGAACAGAGATATCTGAAGCTTTTTTTATCAAATTAGTAACATTCGTATAAAGCTTTTTTTTTTTTTTTTTTTTTAATAGAAAATAACTTTATTCTGGAACAAAGTCTCTTTAGAACAACAAATTAGTACAGAATTAAAAAACTACATCTAGTCTAAACAAAACAATAATTAAAAAAAAAGACAAAGTAAAGAAAATATTAGTTAAACAATCTATATACAAAAAATAAATAAAACTATATACAAAACACTCAAAACTATGACAAGACACTTAAAACTATGTACAGTAGGAAAATTTATAATTATACACTTTTGAGGAAAAAAATGCATTAAGTTCTTTAAAATAAGCTCTGTGTTTCTGCTAACAAAGGAAAAACGAATTAAACAATATAAAATGTCAGAGTATTTAAATAATGCTTAATATGTTAACACATCATTATCTTATTGTAACTATATGTACAGATTTAGTTGTATAAGAATAAAAAAACAAACAATAGAGGCATTCAGTGGCATTAAAAGTAGGAAGATATTATTGTAGTATCCCTAGTGAAGTTTACATTACGGAATAGTACTGTCATTTGATGATGAATGATATAATAGAAATGTATAATATCAAAAGCTTAGCAAGCATTTTTTTTTTTTTATAAGGCTTCAACCACTAGTGTCATTATCGCCTTATTCTCATCGAGAGCTAAATTGTAAATGTTCTCAAGTCCAGAACATTTCAAAAAAGAAAAGAGTTTATCAACCTCATTCGCATTGTCCTGTAAAATGGAGTGTAGATCGTTTGTCAAGTCACTAGAGAGTCTAAATGTTTCGTAAGCTCTGCATTCTGTTAAGATGTGTTTCACTGTCAGAGGAGTCCCACAGGTTTGACATGTTGGCGAAGAATCACGGGCCATCAGGTATCCATGGGTAAGGCGTGTATGATCTATACGCAGGAGCGTAAGAATTACTTCCTCTCTGCGGTTATTCCTATTTGACGATGCCCAAGAGGAAACGTCACCCTTAACCTCCCTCAATTTATTTTCGTTTACATTCGACCATACCTGTTCCCATATTGTCCTCATTCTCCGTTTGATGACAGTTATAAAATCCTCTACAGGTACTCCCCGATAAGGTATTCCATCAGTAATGGCTTTTTTGGCAACTCGATCAACCAGTTCATTACCAGCTATTCCGCAATGACCAGGGACCCAGACAAAAACTACTGATATATTACTTGTATTTTAGGAGGGTTTTGAATGTGGAAATGCCGAATTTTGATAGATAGGGAATTTCAGAAATTGACAGCGCGAGTACTAAAGGATTTTTGAAATGAGGCAGATATATGAGAAGGGATGTAAAGATCAGAAGGTCGAGATCTTGTGGAAAGGACTGAGGACGTGAATTGGAGAAGGTTATAGGCGTAAGGACGATGATTGTTGATGATGTGATAGAGGAATGTACCTAGGAAATATAGTCTTCGAATGGAGGGGAAGAGCCACTCTAACTCAGTGTAGTGGTGAGAGACATGGTAGTGTCTCGGCGCACCAATAACAAATCTTACGAAGCTGTTCATAATTTTACGTAGCTGTTTTTTTTCATATATATAACGATGATTAATTTGAAAAAAAAAAAAAAAAAGATACTAATAACCTATATGAAATGGCGTTTATGCGATTCATGAAGTCCTATTAAATGTAATTACACGAACAATAATACTTTAAGAGATAATTTTAAAATGTTGTTTTCTATAAAATATTATTCCATTTTACCATTTGGAGGCGCTTCAACCCGAAAGCAATCTTCCCCCCTCCCCCCTGGATCCGCCTGTCGTTCCCGTCAGACAATATTCGTGACGAATTCGAAACAATTCAAAATTTTTTGTTTTATGTACATTTATATCATATGGCCTTGACAATAGGTTCACGCAATCAACAATAATTTTTAAAACATTTACAATTTCCTCATGATCATGTAAATGATGAAAATAAAATTAAAACTAAAATGTAACAAACGCTAAAAAAAAAATTAACCAAAAAAAAAGAAAATATTTTAAATTGTAACCATTTATCTCGTAAGATGCTTAGATTTCTGAATAGCGGACCCTGGTCAAGTATATGGACTAGTGGACTCCCTGTACAGAAAACTGGTACGAAAAACTTCTCCTCTGATATAAATAAACTCAAGGAACATCTGAAGCAGTTAGAGGAACTGAAGAAAATCATAAATAGCGAAAAAGTAGATGCCGAAATAGCGAAGCTGAAAGAGAGAGTAGAGAAGATTGGTCAGCTGATCCGACAAATGAAAGAAAATATGAAGAAACCTGGAGGAGATGAATGATGATTGAAGATGGAGATCATTCATGAGAAGAAAATGTCCCTTGGTTAGTTTCAAATAAACATATTTACAATTTAAAATATAAATGAATTATTCTTTAACTCAAAGTCACGCGAAGAACAACTGTTGATCAGAAAATAGCTTACTTAATCCAGGCTTCCGTCTGTAGAGCTAGATCCACGCGTCTCGTTCTGTATCCATTGCTTTCTTCTCGACCAATCGAATCCTCTTCTTTCAAAGGCTTTCTATATTCCACTTTCCCAGGTCTTCCTTGGTCGACCTCTAGGTCTTCTACATCCCATCTACGTCTCGTATGTCTTGCCAATCTGTCTTGTGGAATTCGAGAGACGTGTCCGGACTAAGTTAGTTGTACTATTTTACTTGGTAGGGAAGCTTAGTATTCGTCCAGAAAATTAAAAATAAAATGTGCTCAGAATCGAAAATTTTCACTCGCCTATTACGTTTCAGACATCAAGTATAAAATTTGATACGGTGTCAGTCTGACTAGTCAAAACGATGTGACGGACATATCACTTACTATATCACTTACTATTACTATTACGGAATATCACTTACTATCGTTTATCCGTTTTTTTACATAATTTTCAGTGATTGTGCTGGTTAGAAACTAGACAGTCCCATATTAATTTATTTAAATTTCATACCCTACTTTCGATTGCACACGCGCAAATGTATTTTCTTAGATATGCCAATATTTCCGAATCGATCAAAGTTGGAAAAAAGGTGGGAATTCGTAAAATACCTACTCCTGTCATAAATATTGTGACAAGAAAATACGTACAGATTTCAACAGAAAAATGAATTTAATAAACAAAATGTCTCCCTTTTGTCTTGACACAGCCATTTAATCTCCGTGGCCAGTCATCAATAGCAGCACGCAGCACTTCTTGAGGAAAGCGCTCAACTGCTCGGACCAGAGATTGTTTGAGGCTTTCCAAATTAGGGTGTGCTCTGTGGCATGCCATCCTCTCCAGTTCGGACCAAAGCCGATAATCTAGAGGGTTGAGATCAGGGCTTCCTGAGGGCCAATCAGAGTTAGAGATGAACTCTGGAATGTTCTTTTGCAGATACTGCTGTCCTGGCCTAGTAAGCTGGAGCGAAATCCTGCAGGAAAACTCAATGACTTCAAGCAAACAGAGCATCATCTAAAGGCTTGACAAAAGGTTCCAAAATATCATCCTGACAGTTTTTAGTGGCTGTTTTAACTTCTTTTTCACAAAAATGGAACTTTGTGGTGCCATCAAAGCAAACTCCCCACCAAACCATTACTGAGAAAGGGTGATGACCTCTTTCCACTTTTCCAATGACTTCCTGGGCTTCTTTAGAGCTGTGTGGCCGATCATTTTGGCGGTTAAATTTTTCTTCAGTTGTAAAAATTTTCTCATCATTAAACAAGACCATTGGTGTAATGGCCAAGGAGAACTTTGCATTTATTCACTCCAATTTTTTTAGGAAAGTGGTTAGCCTTTGTTCTATCATTCTTCAAAATGCAGCCATCCTAAGGTCAATTATTATTATGCGAGACATTGATCTGACAGAGATTCCCATTTCCCGAAACATGATTTGTTGTTATCGAATGGGATTTCTTCTGATTCGAGCAGCCTATGCTCTCACTGCATTTGCCGCTCTCACAGTGCGGGGACGTCCCGGTCGAGGTCCGTCACATATGGTTGATATGGTCTCATTAAATCTATTTATAGTTTGGTACACGAACAAAAGGCTGATACCAAAGGTTTCAAAGTATTGAAAATCTCTGACATACATTTTCCAACTTTGTGTAAGACGATCACAACTATTTGGTTTTCTTTATCACCCCACTCCATGTTATCTGAGCGAAAGAAAAATACAAACTAATTGAGATTATTATCCTGACATGTAAAGAAAATTACCAATATAGGTAAGGATTATCCAAATCACTAGCGGATCCAGGATTTAATTTTGGAGGGGCTTCAGCCCGAAAGTAGTTTTTTTCATAAAAATAACGATAATTACTTTAGAAAAAAAGAAAGAAATTAACTACCTGTATGAAATGGTGTTTAAGTGATTCCTTAAGTCCTTTTAAACGTAATTACACGAACAATAATACTTTAAGAGATACTTTTTAAAGATTTTTTTCGATAAAACATGGTTATATTTTACCATTTTGGGAGGGGCTTCAGCCCGAAAGCCTCCCCCCCCGTAGATCGTGATCCAAATAATGCCCAAGGATGTAAACAAAGTTCAACTTTTATAACAGTATTTATAGCAGAACTAGTTAATATGGAGCCAATGGCTGAAACTCTAATAGTCCGCTATAGAAGAGAAATGTTATCAAATTAAAAATATTTTCAGAATAAATTAATTTCTACTCACGATAAGGTGGTAAGTGAAAATCGTATGATGCGAGCAACGTAGCAGAATTATTTTATTTTCTTAGTATGTCTTAACCCTTTCATCACTATGTTATCATAATGCAGTATGTTGTTGCATCAAGGAGAGCTGCAAGAAAATTATTAAAGATTGTAGGCTCATTTTGTTTAACACGTTTCCTGATAATTTAGGATCAGTAAACAGGGAAAAGTGTCAAATGCTTTCACAAAAATTTACCATTTAACCACGTGCATTATCAGCCAAAGCCTTAAGCATCGTATGAGCCATCGAGATCTGTTAATGAGCAAGTTACGCTAATTACGAAGGAGGAAATATATGCCAAGGATAAGGTTTTTAGTTAACTCTAAGTGGCGGTGGAAAGTCACGGAGCAGACTGAGAAATGTAATCAATTAGTGAGGCGTCTTGTAAAAGATAACACTCAACACCTTCTCTCAATCCTCATCCATTCTTACCATTATTTTCCTATCGCACCAATGAATGAAAGTATTTTTATCTAATAGGATTCCCGAAAAAGTGTAATCAAAGGAATATATATATATAATTGGTAATTGGTTGACTGTCGTGGATAATGAAGAGAAGAATAGTTGGGGTGCTCAGTCAAAAAGGAAGGCAAAAAATAAATTATAATATTTATTTCTTACATATGCCGACGTTTCGACCTGAAGTTCAGGCCTTCATCAGGGCTTTCTCCTTAAGTGTCAAGGGGAGAATCCTTGACACATTCTCCCCTTGACACTTAAGGAGAAAGCCCTGATGAAGGCCTGAACTTCAGGTCGAAACGTCGGCATATGTAAGAAATAAATATTATAATTTATTTTTTGCCTTCCTTTTTGACTGAGCACCCCAACTATTCTTCTCTTCATTATCCACGACAGTCAACCAATTACCAATTATAAATCTATCCACACGGGGCCAACGACCGAATATATATATATAATACAGGGTTATGTGACCAAACTGCATAAATGAACTAAGGACCTCAAAAAAAATCCTATGAAGGTATGTCTACAAACGCTTTGTTTATTGTTGTTTGTTTGTAGATATTCACACCTAAAGATTTTCATTGTTATGAATTATTTACGTCATATTAAGTAAATAAAACTTATTTATTTGTTCCAACGAGACATGTCTATAATAAGACCTATTTAGACTTACGGAGTTGAGCTATGGGGCTCCACTAAACAATCGAATTCCTCTCTTATCGAACCTTTACAATCCAAAATCCTTCGTAAAATCCTCAATACTCCGTACTTTGTTAAAAAGAAAACCATCCATAATGACCTTAATATTTCTTAAGTTTCAGATCTGGCCCAATCCAGATAATAATAATCCTTCCATAATAAACTTCAGAATCATCCCAACCCTCTCTTTTCTAACCTTGGTTCCTTTTAAATTCCTGATAACCCACCGAAGCGTCTGAAAAGAAGATGGTCCCGTGATCTCCTAATGTAGACATATCATTAGAGTGCTACTCAACAAGTGTTTCACGTCATTATATCCATATGTTCAAATTTACTGGATGCATTTTTTTTTTTTTTATACAGTTGTAAATATCATTAAGAAATGATAAAAAATAAAAACATTTTGTTCCAACTACTTTATTTATTAAACGTAAACATCAAATTCATATTAATTGTTGTTCAAATTGATTTCCTTGAGCATTAAGACATTGAGCATCTTTCTTCAACAGCAGCAGTGGCAGAACGGCACTGGATATGTGTTATTGTTCAACAAGATTCAATTATCCTTCTTCGTAAGGAATTAAGGTCATTGACCGGATTTGCATAGACTTTTTGTTTAATATCACCCCAAATCAAAAAAATCAGTGGTGTCAGGTCTGGAGGGCGTGCAGGCCAAGCCACTGGTCTTGCACGGCCAATCCATTGATTTCGATCGTTAACATTTAGCCCTTGTCGTGAACCTCTTCCGTAATGTGCAGGACAACCATCTAATTGAGGCCACATATCAGTTGTAGTGGGATATTTCAGGTTTTATTTATTTCATATAACGTAAATAATTCATAACAAAGAAAATCTTTAGGTGTGAATATCTCCTAAAAAAAGTGTTTGCGGACATATGTTCAGAGAATATTTTTTTATTGTTTTGAGGTCCTTAGTTCATTTTTGAAATTTAGCCACTTAACCATAAAACATCCTGTATATACAGTGTGCCCCGTATGTAGAGAGACATTTTTATATGAATGATAGCAGATCTCAAGAGCTACAAAAAGGTTCATATAAACAATTAGTGTTGCCCAAAATCGGTCTTGGTCTTGCACTTGGAAGACCAAGACCAAGTCCGCCTAACTGTTGCAAGACCAAGAGACCAGGACTGGTAAAAGAAATCGATTTTTTGAATAAAAATTAAGGCAAAATAGTTACTAATACTTAACAATCTTAGTTACTTTATGGAAATAATTGGTATAACCAATTACATTTTATTACTTTGTAAACATAAAACAAACCACAAATTTCATATTATTAATCTCACCTTGATGTCAATTCTATCTTGTGGTCTAAAACGCACAGTATACTTTTTTTACTTTCACTTACATATATATGTAATATATAGTAGGGGTAAGTGTTGCGATCGTGAAAATTTTCGAATCTCAGTTTTCAACAGATATACATATTTTGAGGTCTCCTGAGTCCAAATAACCAAGTTTCACAAAATGATCTGTGTGTGTGTGTGTG